TATTCCACCACACATATTTTTTGATTTGTACCCCAGTATAGTCGACAAAGACGTAGTTTTACGTCAAAAAACATTGTTTTAGCTGAAATGAGTATTTGCAACCTTGGTTTATTAGAATGACCTTTGTTATTTTGTGGAGTGTTTACCCCTGTGTCCCCACAAAGGTCACAGGAGGGATATTTTGTTAGTAGGATAGGTTCATTGGATCAGGATTCGCCTTGATAAGTGATGCGACCGTGGTTTTGATATAATGTATTGTTTACTGAAATTGACGCGAATAAAACTTGCAATCATTTAATGCCTGGCAGGCAAACGATGCGAACCTTTCAACTCAGAAATGATGTTCCTTAGTCATATAGGGTTAACTACCCCATTTCCGGCCTATCAAGCACAACCCGCACTTAGTCTTTCAAAATCTAGCGCAGTTTAGCACCAAACAAAATGTTATTATTACTTATGGCTTCCAAATTTATTAACCTTTCCGTATGTACCGTAAGATTTTATAAAAAGAAACCAATAATTGATATATTATCAGAAGTCTAACACTGCTTCTTGACGTCAAACTCGGCCTACGGATTCTAAACTCGGCCTAACGCATTAAAACGCTATGAAACGCCAATGAATTCACTTCGGCCTATCGGATGAATATAAAAATTGATTCGGTCGGAGCGCTTCTTTTGTTTTTTGTGAATAATGGGTGCAAACCTTCATATCACGCTTATTAACTAAAGTATCGTACCAAACGCATAATTGATTTTTTAACTCTGAAATCATGGATTTATTTGTAGTTTTCTGCTCAATAGGCCCAAAATGGGCGATTAGGCCGAAGTAGTTCTCTACCCTATTACCGAGAAAATACATTTTTTTGCATTTTCGACCGAGTATATATCTCACTAGCGATTGTCTACGCTCAGGATTGATCATTTCGGAAGAAATAATGTAACTTTCAAGCAATCTGGACCGAATTCTGCTGCGTTTTTAAACATTTTCTCTCCTTTTCAAACAACAAAAACAAATGGAAAACTTTCCCGAAGACCCCATTCACCTATAAATAGTGGTTTAAGCGACAACAATTGTTTCATCCTGTAGTATATTTAATTTAAAACCACTGTGGGGCGTGATAAGTGGATGTGTGAGATGTAAGTGAGTGATAAATGAGATGTGAGTTAGCATATTAATGCAACCGATTTTTATGAGCAACGCCCGAGGGTATTCAACAAGTTAATTATACATAGTTGGAGATGCTTAACGACAAACATCAGGCTTAAAGTGTTTATTTTATTTCGATCGATGAGGAGATGAAAGTAAAGAGTTGATAATTTCGTATATAGAGAGTAGAAAGCGAGCAAAGGTCAATTTTAGGGAAGGCACGAATCGGGTTGATCATCTCCTTTACCAAACTTCCCTTTTGGGGATTGATGGTGAGGGGTATCTTCTCCCGCCACCACTGGCCAAAGAGATGTTTACCGATTTGGTTTCGTACCTTTGATGTACGGAAACAGTTCTATCGATTGTTTCACACTCAAGTAACCATCTGACGTAAGCATCTAACCGATAGGTTTCGAAATTGCAGCTATTGTATTATTGCCTCTACCGCTGTATGTGCTCCTATCATCGTCAACTTAACGATCTCAAGGAGACACGGGTAGGGGAGGTGCTGCTCCTGTACCTTTTGACCAATGACAGTATGATTGATGGTAAGCTCCCATCTAGAGCTACGTACTATAACTAATCATGTTTGTATTACTTCATGCGTGAAGTTAAAGATTTACATAGTTGGTGATGCTTAACATCAAATATAAGACTTAAAGTGGTAATTTTATACGATAGATGAGGAGATGAAAGTATTGAGTTGATAGTTCACACTGCCGTACTCTCACGGAACTATCAACTCTATAACAACTTATCTATAGAAAACATACACTCAAATCTCATGCATGAGTTTATTTGTCTACGAATTGCGCTTTGCCAAATTCAGCAACGCAATTACCACCGTTGAGATTCCTTGTTCTAAAATGCATTGCTTTAGATGTTGGCATTTGTAATAGTTCTTATTTTTATTTTAGCATGATTCGATTGAAAACTAACAAAACATATAATTGCATGCTATAAATTGACCTTTTGCGGTAGATTCGCACGTGAGTTGATAGTCTCAGATGTGATTGATATGAGATTTACTACCGAGATAGAGAGTTTCGATTAAATGTAGTTTTTCCCCCTATCGGCTATTAAATTAAAAAAAAATGGTAACTGTTAGCTTACCCACGCAAACTAACACCACCAAGAGGTAGGGCAAAATTACCTCAACTTTGAAGTTGCATTCGGGTCTTATGGTCGTTATTTAGTTGTCATTCGTTCAATTGTAAACATCTTCACACCACTCAGTATAAGGATCTACTCCACTTACACCTAGGTATGCTCCAAGTGCCCCTGTGATAGTAACCAGAATATTATAGCTATCGCAAGCATTGTCTTGAATGTTTTAATTTGAAAATGCTTTGAGTTCTTTAAAAAAAAAAAAAAAACCCTTGCTATGTTAGTGGGTTTTAATATTGCCGATTCAGGGAAAATAATTCGACGCAACTGACAGCCATAGCATGCTATAAAAGCTGATAATCTGACGACAAATGCAAATTTTTCTCAGAATTGGCAATATTATTCGAGAAAGACACTTGTCACCAGTGCGTGGATTAATCAGGGATTAATCAGGAGTTGGCCAAGAAACCGTCGAACGTTAAGCGACTTGGGCCCTTATGAATCTATATATAGAATTTAAAGAAATTGTTATGTCAAAATAATGTAAATTTATTGCGAAATTTATGTTTGTCCTTCCTTTAGGATAGAAATCGCTGAAATCTTCATGCAAGCTTCCATACTCTTTGGTAACTAATCAAATGCGGGGAGGAGTGTGATAAGTTGGGTGCAAACAGTTTTCCAAAAATGAATTCATATGGTGAATAATCTTTAAAAAAATAAACAACCGTAGACATTACATCCTCTACCAAGCTGTGAATTGCAGAATGAGATGAACCTATTTGCTTTATTCTTCATTTTCAGATCCATTTTCCAATAACATTTCTCAATCATTTCGTAAATGCTAAATTTTATTTTATTTTCAACGACAACGTTTCATGAAAGTTGGAATCAGGCATGGAAAATTATTTGCATTCATTTCGTGCATTCATTTTCATTCATTTGCATCTAACTTTTTTCTTCAAAAGCATTCCGCAAAATGATGTATGGAACTTTTGTAGGTTTTGTTATTAGCTACAAGTTTTGTTAACATTTCAAATCCGTATCTCTTATGCATGACGAACCAGAGCGAACAGAAGCCACTACTGTTTTTCAGTGAATGTATTTTACATTCACTGAAAAACAGTAACAAGTTCTACCCGCTCTAGTTCGTGATGGATAAGAGATACAGATTTGAGTTATGAGCAAAACTTGTAGTTAATAACAAAACCACCTACAACAGCTCTATACATCTTTTTGCGGAATGCTGTTGATGAAAAAAGTTAGAGGCAAATGAATGTAAATGAATGTATGAAATGAATGCAAATGATTTCCCATGCCTGGTTGGAATAAGAAATCAATGAATGCATAGGCCATCAAGGTTGTTGGTTTGGTTGTAACTGAAGTGTTAAAAAATTGCTTTAAATGAAATGGGGATGTCATTAATTTTAGGAAATTCGAAAGCAGTTTTTTCGTTTAAAACTGATTGTTAATGAAAATGTGTTCACTGTGTTCCGGTTGGCAACTAGTTAGAATGCAATGAACACACAATTTAAAATTAAAAAGTAATAACAATGCCTGGGATTATCATTTTTCTCAGGATTTATGATATGTTTATGATTGAAAGCTAATACTTACATTCGAATTGTCAATTTTTTAAGATGATGGATCTGTGATTTTTTGTAAGATTTTGGAATAAAATAGTTCTTTTGAAACTTAATCCAAATTTTAATTGAATATGTAAATTCGCAAACTTGAAGATTGTGGGATCTGTACTTGATTTTAAGGAGTAGATTTCTTCTCCTTTGAATTATGACCAGATAATTCGATATTCTCCCCCCACCCTTCTTTAAACCTGGTTACGCCTTTGACGGATAAAATCATTATGGTGTGTGATTAAGCTGTGAATGGAAGGTATGAATGCCAAATATCAATTCTTAAGAATCCCATTGGCTTTATTATTTTCCTCCTAATGATCGACCCAGAAAAGAGTCTCACAATGAAGTGCCTGTTAGATGAAGCCTATTAGATTAAGGTCCTGCTCCATTAACGCGAAATATACATCACTTCAAAATAGAACAGCCTTTCAAAGCAGTTTGGCAAAATTGCCATGTGATATCAACACATCACGAAAACTACGTGCAACAAACACTACAAACAGTGTAGGTCGCTTCTTTGCATTTTTGAGAAGCACTTTCAGCTACGGTAGACATCTTTCTCTTTTCGGTTTATGGCGCTCCTTCTGGAACATGTGCCTATTCCCAACATACTTAGTTTTTAGTACTTTCAACGTTATAAATTGAGCGCTTCCTAGACCTTGTATACTGTGTGGCAGGCACAATGACAATGTTTACCCAGGGAAATCGAAAAATATTCCAACTGAAAAACTCCTTCGATCAAGTTGAACCCGTTGCTTCCTACGTGGATGGCTTTGGTACTTATTACTTTATGCATTCGACTAATCGTGGACCGCATGCCTACTTTTCGCGGATTTCTTGTGAATGTTACTGTAGGAACGTGATGTGATTCCTTCTACGTGTCACTGCTTTTTCACAAACGCTTCTATGCTATATCTTGGTAGTAACTGGCACATAGTAAATGTCTGTTACGCGGAAAACTGTTGGGGAATGGAAAATAAGTGTACAGAATATATGTAACATCAGCATCTCTGCTGCTACAAAGCAAACGTTCAACCCATATATTTATAACTGAAAATTCATGATGGGGTGAAAATGTTGATAATTTTTTTTCTTCTTTCTTTTTTTCAGGAAAAAAACAAGATCCTGAAGTGGCATACGATGAGAATCCGAATAGAAACAATGTATCTGATGTTGACACTATATCTGCTGAAGTGCTGTAACTAGAGTGACGAGTTCTACACATCCAACCAACATGTTTTGCGAGTGAAAAACGTATTTAAGGCACAGGGGTGGAGATCGTATGGAAATTCGTGTTTCAAGGCGCAAGCAAGTGTATGAAAGAAAATGAAGCTTTGAATTTGATATTCTAGTATTGATAGCGGAATGTAAAGCAAAACATCAAACAAGCTAGTGGAAAGCGAGAAATGTGAAAAGGTGTGTTTATGTTCATGATTGATCCAATTTTTCCTACTGGTTGACGGCAAATCTGACACGTGATGACATTTCGTCGGCGAGTGGAAGGTTGCGTAAAACTACCGCAGCGAAGACTGGTGCAGGCTACTCTGGTACACAGCAAATTGTGTACGATGCCAATCCTCGAAGGATGCCGTCAATGTGGTGGCAAATGTAGTGTGAGTGGTACAAGCAGTAATGGCGGTGAAAAAGTGCTAAATAAAGCAAAGCTCGCCTCCTACGACACAACAGAAATGGTAAAACGAACAGCAGTGTTGTTGGCAGTGGTTGCCTTGGCGACGGCATTTCCAGCCAGCGACGGAAGCTATGCCGACACGGAAGATTTGATCAATGAACTAGACAGACCAAGTAAGTATACACCATGTGGGATGGATTTATTCTCTGCCAATAATATGGTTGGGATTTTTTTTCCTTTCGATATGTATTCAAATTAGACTGGCCCACAAAAATAAAAGTTCTAATTTTCCACAAGCCAACCTCTAGATTTGTGCCTTCTGGTGAGAAAACCTTTCTCTGAAAGTTTTAGCTTATTTTAATGTAGGATGAGTCGGCGTTTTGGTTTGTATTTTGTGTGGGAATTTTGGATAAAGTACACAAAAAAATTACGCCTACACTCTTTCGATCATAATACAATTTTCTTACTATCGTTTTGATACAGAATTTCAAAAATTGTAGTTCATACAATCTGTAACAACATTGCTGAAGACTGCATTATGAATTCGGTTGGGTTTATTAGATATTCACTTTTGAATGTATATGAGCATTTTGTGTATGCAAATTTCTACTATATAAACATTAAACCAAAAGCGCCAGTCCGTGCTACGTCAAAAACAGCTGAAACATTCAGGAAGTGGGTTATCTCACCTACTGACACGAGTCTGGATGTAGGCATATGGAAAATATGAAATTTTTTTTTTTTTTTAATGGTAATCTAGTTGATACGTTGCATAAGCTTCCTTTTTTGCATATACGAGCAAAATGCACCGATAAATTCAAGAATGAATATCTCCATAATACTCACATGAATCTTTATGCTGTCCTGCAAAGTTGTTTCTTATTGATTATGCTACATATGCTGAAATTTTGAGCCTAAACGAGTTTGCCGAGCCAGTTTTTTACACGAAAGAGAGAATGAATTTTTCCATACATTTCGAAAATGATCCCAATATAAACTTTAAGCCAAAAGCGCCAGCTCGTGTTAAAATCGAATGAACTGAAATTTTCAGATAGTGGTTTTTTCACCTAATGGCACAAAAAAAAAATATAAAAAAATCTCTCATATAAATGTAGGCCAGTCTAATACATGCAGTTATTTATATTTTTCTGATGTTTTGAACTTGTACATTTGCTTATTTTGGTAATCATGATTGTGAGAGGCATTATTGTCGTTTGCTCCTCGAGCTTTAATAACACATTCTGAACTTATTTTGTTATTTCATCCTTACTTTCATACGGTTTGTTATGTGTATCTTATTGGAAAGTTATCATGTTTTTTTTCTTATGGTTTAAATGGTTATGCTACAATGAATTTTTGGGTTTTAATTTATTTTTTCGATTTCATGGGCATGTCGTTTCTTGGCAGGCTATTTTTCGTATTTTTTTCCTGATAGCTTAAACAATTATTTTCTGGAATGATCCATTTTCAAATAATTTATTTATTTCGTTAATCAGTGTGAACTACATAAGCATTTACATTTACATTAATTTGTCTTAAACTACATTAAAAATTCAAACTTGCTAATAAGTGTTTTGAAATCATAAACTGTGGGATTACATCATTAACAAAAGAAATCATGGTAATTTCTATTATTTTCTTCAGTGTTTAAATGTTAACGTAACTTGTACCGAAAGGAAGAAAGGGCAAATCAGTTAGTAGGTAGATTTTACAACATTAGGGACGTAGGAGAAGTTCTTGGCAAAAAGTTTACTTGTGTCGATCATTTTAACACAACAATTCATAAAGCATATAATATGATATAATTTATCAAATTATTTAGCTACCATTTTAAGGATCCATATACCATCAAAACACTTTATAAAACTTGACCTTACACATTAAACTTAATTAAATTGCTGGATCATGTTCAAGTGACAAATCCAGCTATTTAATTAAGTTTAATGTGTAAGGTCAAGTTTTATAAAGTGTTTTGATGGTATATGGATCCTTAAAATGGTAGCTAAATAATTTGATAAATTATATCATATTATATGCTTTATGAATTGTTGTGTTAAAATGATCGACACAAGTAAACTTTTTGCCAAGAACTTCTCCTACGTCCCTAATGTTGTAAAATCTACCTACTAACTGATTTACTCACCAGTGAGTAGATCGCCTTTTCGTGGTACGTTACTGGTACAAGATCTACCACATCGATCCTTAGCTCTTTGTACGCGCCACGCACTAATTACCGGTCATACGCAGGCTTTCTTGACGGCACTGTTGACCTCTGGGCCCAATAACGTATCTGCGGCCAACCAATAACGGCTGAGTCCCCCGTTAATTTGGGACTTGGTAGAATTCTCCTCGATCGCACAACCGAAAGCGACAAGGTATTTTACTAAAACGGCACTTAGTAAAGAGGTGTCTCTTTACTAAGTGCCGTTTTAGTAAAATACCTTGTCGCTTTCGGTTGTGTGATCGAGGAGAATACGGCGGACACCGACCTCGGTCAACCAGGAAGACACTTTTTCGGATCGAGTGAAAGCGGAACGTTTTTGGTTGCACGTATATAATCATCGAGTTGCTGATCGTGACTGAATAACAAATTGAACTGAGCACACTTTTTATCTCTTCCCTACAGACTGTGTATGGGTGTGTGTGTGGGTATTCGTTGCGTGCGATCACTGCAATAGATGATCTTTGGTGTAGAGTCTACCTATGTATCGGATTGGCAAGTCGTACTAGTGGACAGGAAATAGAAATAAGTCTAGTTAATTGAATTTAGAATAACAAATTGATTTGTACGATAGATTAAGCAAATGTTTAGTTGAGTATTTCTAGTGTAATTATAATTCCTAATTTAAGTTTGGATTGGTTCCTAACACTCTTCATGTTGATGGTTATGAGCCTCGGATCTGAGATTGAAATCAAGAAAAGGTTCGGGTCAGGATTCTGCAGCATGAGCAAATATCAGTAAAATCGCTTGATTTTGATGCTAAGAATATCTATGTTAATTGATATAAATGAGCATCTTTGGAGTGGTTCTAGCATTTTTATTTTTTAATGTTACGATGAAGTTTTGTTCTTGCAAGCTACAAAAAGAGTTTGTTTTCCCTTGATTTGTTTTCCATACTGAGTACCAACGCTACCACACCACACCTGGACCCTACCTATCGATCCATCAACTCATGGATCGGGGACCAACGGCTTTACGTCCATTCCGAAGGAAGGCGTGATCAGAGATGATATGCCTCAGAAAATCCCAGCGGCGCCGACTGGGATTGAACCCAAGCATTTTAGGGTAAGAGGCAATCACGCTTACCAACAAGACGAGGTTGTAATTTATGTGTTTGTCATAATCTATCAATTTTGCTTTTAGAGAGTCACAATCATCAATTATCTTCATGAAGAGTGAATGTTCACAGTGTACACAGTGTTACAGATAAAAAAATGAACATTTGAAATTGTTCAAACACCCCCAACATTTAAATAAATTAAAAAAAAAAAACCCATTTTAGGCAAGTGACCGCATACTTACATGAGTAAGGTACACTGGGGAAAATTGAAACGGTTTTTTCAAAGTTGAACTTTGAGGCTCTCTAGAAAAATCATAAAGTAACGTAAACCAGATGGTTTGAAGCAAGCTTGCAAAAACTCATTTCAGCTAAAATTATGTTTTTCGGAATAATAAAACCAAAAGATGGTATGATGACATGTTTTTCTTGCAACTTACAAAAAGAGGTTACAAAGTATGCGTTTGAAACATAAAGCCTATAAATTTTGCTTTCTATGAGTCAAAATCAGCGATTTGCTGATCGCTGAGTGAGTGAGTGAGTGAGTGAGTGAGTGAGTGAGTGAGTGAGTGAGTGAGTGAGTGAGTGAGTGAATGAGTGAGTGAGTGAGTGAGTGAGTGAGTGAGTGAGTGAGTGAGTGAGTGAGTGAGTGTGTGAAAAATCGCTGGTTGTGACTCTCATGAAGTGAAATAAACAGGTTTAATATGTCAAACACATTCTTTGCAACCTCTTCTTGTATCTTACCAATTCAAAATATGATCATAGTATCTAATTATTTCATAATTAAAAAAAAACATTGTTTTAGCTGAAATGAGTATTTGCAACCTTGGTTTAAAGTTTCAGAAAAACGACTTCCATCATAAAAAATTAAACTATAGTTTAGATCCAAAACAGTTACATTTTTATGAGGATACAAATATTATGTAGGGGAAATGTCACTTATGTTGGCCTATGGATCTAAGATAGGGTCCATCTCTAAAAAACTGCTTTTTATCAATTTTATCTAGATGAACGCGTTATTGGGACGTTACTAATAGATATTTTTGGTTGCTATTGAAAATTTAGCCGATTGCTGAATTTATGTATGGGCCCAAATTAGGGACACTTAGGCCGACATTACCTGCATTTCCCCTATGTTGTTTCATCTTGACCCATACAGTGGGGTAAGTTGAAACACATATTTGCATACAATAGTTTCCATTTTTTTTAATCTATAGTATTTTCAAAGGCACCCTTCACTGTTTCTTGGCAATCCTTTAACATATTGAAGTGATTTCTGGTACTGAGAATAGGATTTCTTTACCCCTTGTACTCATTTAGATTTTCCTCATTGGGTGTAAACATGTTGGGCAAGCTGAAATGCTTAATATGTTGAGGATATTTTATGTTATTTCAAGCTATTCTCTTCGTCAATTTTCTCTTTCGCTAATAACATGAGCACACAACCGTTTCTTGTAGTGTTTGTCGTTTCAGATTCTAGATAAAAGCTTCTTCTATCGATCTGTGTTCTGAAAATATCTGAGAATGTCTTTACATAGCCATGGGCATACGAAGAGAAAGTCTACGAAGAGAATCTATCAATGTTACTTAAGACAAATTGCAATGCTCAGCTTGATTTAATTTGTAACCGGGTTTTTTATCACTACAATTTTACTTTTTTGAGAACATTGATGTAATGCGTAAAAAAATTGTATGCTGTATATAACTACCTGTTGTGACAGCCATAGGATGAATTTAAATTCATATTATACTGATAAAAATAAACACAGTGATAACTCACTTCCGCATATAGCCACGGCTTCCATTTCATCTTAACCCGCATTTCAACTTGCCCCGGTGCACCATAAGTCAATCATTTTTTAGTTTTGATTTTAAAAAGTTTTAAAATATATTTA